AAAAAAAAAAAAAAAAAAAAGCATTTGGTATTCTGGCATTTATTAGAAACAAGTATGAATTCTATCTATCTCTTAAATATGACATAATTGAATGGACACCAGATGACAATGGAAACTCCCTCACAGCTGCATAGGATGACCAGCAATGTTTTGCCGTGGGCCAAGTTCGTCTAGTGTATAAAGAAAGGGATACCAGAAACTAGATCTTTGTATCTCTTCAAGAGTTGGTTTTGAAATTCTTGTTTCTCTGTGGTAGAATCTATACCAGCCATAGCAGATTCTTGTTAGACGTACTTGCTACTGAAATAAGGTGTAAATTTAAGGTACTTCTAAACTGACCTATTAAGGGTTTACCTTTATCCATTGTCAGAATATTTAATATGTTACTAATACTGGGTTATTAGACAAGGTGATGGTAATATGAGAAATTTAGTTCTCTTGGACATCTATCAGTCAAATTCTTTGCAATCAAGCATTGGACGGAGGAAACACAGTCACAGAAGCAAGTCATATCTGAAAGAACTTGACTTCATATGTACAATGATTATATGTAAACACTGAAAATGTAGATCACAAAGAAACAATTAGAGATGGGAACTCTGGATGGTATTTTTCAATGTACTAAAGATCTAAAGAAAATGGGATGCCAGTTGGATGTATCCACGCTTCACCATTGATGAAATTTCTCACTGTGAAATTTTCAGCTTCGACTATATTCATGGCTTTATGAACTCCTTCCCAGCGTACTCTTTTCACAGTGATAGATCCAGGACCCTTATTGTGATATTCTCCATAATACAATGAGGAGAGGGCAGAAGTATCATTATTCCATTTGAGCCATCCCTCTGGGTCTATTATACTACTTAAGAAGGATTTCATTATAACAACGGTGGAAAATTTTCTCCATGGCCTGCCAAGGTAAGTCTTTATCCCTAAATTGGAATTGAAGTCCTTCGCAGGCATGATTTTGCAGTTGTGGATGGAAATCCCAGTAATTTGATCACTTGTTCCCCTCCCTTGTGCTGTTATTACATTTGAATGCCTCTGGCCAGGATTATGAACGAAAATGCTGCAATTTTGGAAAACCACTTTGGCATTTCCAAATATAATATCTATAGTCCCAAATATCTCACATTCCCTGTAAAATTGGACACCTCTATGGACATAAAGTATGTCCTGATAGCCTTCAAATCTACACTTGTAGAATGCAGATAAGCTGAAACTGCTCCTCATTGCTACAGCTTGTCCATTGCTTGGTCCAGCAGAATTTCGGAAGGTTATATACTTCGCTATAAACCCATTTCCATCGATTGCTGATAAAAAATATATATAAGTAATGATTTTTGGACCTCTTTATGGAACATTAATAATACGATAAATTTCTTCCCTTATTCCAAACATTATGCTCAGTAGTATGCAAAAAGATCTATTGAATAGGAAGATACAACTTATTTTAAAATGACTTGTATGTTTTTATTAGGTTATTAAGAGGACGCGTGTGACATAAGAAGTGATAATATGTTAAATGCCAATGTGATGCAACTCATTAAGCTATTCTGTTCCTTTGCAATAGATACTCCGAGAATGGATATCTATCTTCCGTTTGACCAATAATGTTGTTCATATGTATGATACAATCAAGAGTATATATGCTGAACGAAACATACCTACTGTGGCTGAATCATAGGTACTATAGTGTGTACCATTGCTCTTATTGCCAGTGATAATTGTTGCACCAATCCCATCTCCGATAAAAGCAATATTTGTCTTTTTTACTCCAACAATAATATACTCAGCATAGGTTCCTGCTTTAATTTGGATATAATATGTTTGCTTGCTATAAGTTGGTGCAGCATCAACAGCATCAGAGATTGTAGTGAAGTTACCGGATCCATCTTGGGCTACGGTTATGCCAGATTGTGGAATAAGCTGGCTTTGGACAATGCACCCAAGACCGAGAATAATAGCAAGACTCAAAATTTTCTGCACATTTGAATACAATCAAATTAGAACTGCAACAAAGTAATGTAAAATAATCATTTTCCCGTCGTTTGAATATATTCTAATTTTCTTTAGGTGGGGAACTGAAGAAAATATTGGGAGTGAGTATCTTCAGTGGTATAACTGTTTAGTAAGCAACCAGAACTTGTAGTACGTTGGAAAGTTCATGTGGTTTCCCAAATATCACGTTAAAAGGAATGTAATGGCTAGTACGTCAAAAATTTGCATCAAGGAAAAAAAAAAAAAAAGCAAAAGAATTTGTTGTCTAGATCCTGAAATAAATACATAGATGATGATAGTGACCAGAGAGTGGTCTTTTTGATTACTGTAAATGCTTGCTATGGTGCCGGACACACGCCCATTGTCCTTACCCAAGTGTCAGGTGTTTGATACGGGTACTTGAAACATTTTCAATAGTCCAATGTGATGTAGAAGAAGAGATGTATATCGTTAGGGTTTATTCATACAAATGTAATACATGATTAAATACTCTACGTCTGCTTGAGCCATCGCCAAACCCAAAACTTCTGCGTTAGTTTAATTTGCTGTATAGTATAGGGATCGAAATTCCCATTGGCCACACCTACTAATTATTTTTCTCTTTCATTTTTCTAATGAAAATGGGAAGAAATAAAACATTTACCTCCATTTGGTAGAGACCAGCAACTATGCTTCAACTTCGCACTAGTAGTACTGTGGAAACTTTGATTGCTAGTAATTCCTTAAACAACAGAGGAAGCAAAGGCGAGAAAAAGGTATTGTGGCAAGGGATTATGGAAGCCAGGATTTATAATGCATGTTTGTAACTTGTACAACAGATCATTTTCGTTCCATTTGGATAGATTCAAAGCCGACTTTCTATTAGGGGGACTAGTTTCATGCAATTTTGCCTATTGATTTAGTTTCACGTTATATGCATCAATGATGCTTTTGTGAAATTGTTTTGCATCTTTCATGTATAGGTGTACCTTTTTATCCTTCACTAATTCTTGTGGGAATTTGCCTTCCCCATTGTGTCCACTGCTTATTTTCTTTGTTACTCTTTTACCCGTTTGAATATGGGTTCTTTTGAGAAACTGAGGCAAACTAATCTTTGGTTATTTTGAGAAAACTTAGGCATTGTGATATAGGCCCATTTTGAGAGCACTGTGGCATTCCAGTATATCTTCAATTGACATGAGAGACATCCATACATACATGCATATACACATAAATATATATATATTCTGGTGAAAGGGCTAAGAGGATTAGGAGAATGGTGCAGTTTTTGGAGGGCTGATGAGCTGTGTATGAAATTGGAAAAAGGTCTGATAAGCCATGGATCAGAACCTATGAAATCGAATTGGATGTCGTTTCTGGTGCACTGAGGCCAAATCTATGGCGTCTTTCTCTCAAAAATGTCATTGTGATTGTGCAAGGTGAACTAACCAGCTGCGGTTGTTAATGGGACCACTTCTGAAAGTTGCAAATCACAACACTATTAAGCCTTGAATCTGATCATTCAGAAAAAGGTTTGAATATGATTATGGTATTTCGTTGAACATAATACACAAGGTTTCTTCTAGTACGCTCCTATGTAAAAGATTGATTGAGATTTTTCAAAACATTTTTTTTTTCAATTTCTCTCAATATTAGATCATTCAACAGAAATTCAAGTGAGACCTACAACCTATATAAAAGTGGACTTCCATAAATACACGGTGAATAATCTACAATTGATTTTTCTTTAAGACGAGTGAATATAGTTGTTTACTATTTGGGTAGAACTTAGAGTAATAAGAATATCCACAATTTTAGGTTGAACTAGCATATCACACTATTATTTTATATGTTAGAAAAGTTCCACAATATTTTGGGTAATGGTCCTGATGGCTGGTCCATGAGTTTTTTTTCAATAGATCATTTTCTTTTGCTTCTTTTTATTTATTTTTTGGATAAGCTTAATTGATTTGAAGACAAACAAGTTTTGAAGTCTTCTACCAAATACATTTAATGTACAACAGGTTTTCAAAATAGGAGAACATTGATTTATAACGTAACAAAATTTTAAAGTGTTTTAGCAAGATCCATAGAATATAATTTCTTGTACATGTGATTTCACTGTTTTCTCGCCACCAAAAAAAGAAATGTATATATATAGATTCCAACCAATAAATATTCTCAGGGAACGTCCTATAGAACAGAACACATTTGGGTAGATTGATTTGATTTTATTCTCTAGGGTGTTTGTGATGTCAGTCATTGATACTAAAATAAGGTTTAATTTGCAAATAAGTAAATTCTTGACACTTCTCACTTTTTAGTAGTCAAGTGCAGAGAACTGCCTTGATGTGAGTATGGCTTCAAAAACTGGTACATATAAAAGCATTTAGTCTTTTGTGACTTTTTGCCACATACTTACATTATTTGGACAACTTTTTTCAATTTTGTGTAGTGGGTTAAAACTGGCTTCTTTAGGATCTCTTCATTGAGAGACCATGAAGAAAAATCTGAGTAAAATTCTTTGGTAATAAGCACTACGATGTTCACTTATCTCCCGTTAGACACATGAAAAATAATACAATATTGCAGCAGCTCGCATATGTCAATGACATTTAAAATTTCTATTCAAATTTTTAACTGGTTTGCATTTGCTTCTCATATCTGGCTTCTCTATAAAGGCGATCGAAAATTAATAAAACTTTAATCAAGTGGTGGTTTTTCTCAAAATATCCTGCAAAATATATCCATTCACCGAGCGATGAATTGCGTCCCCTATGTGACCCCGTATGAGCCCTTCTCTTGCTTGTCTGAGGTATAATTTGGGCAAGGGCACCAAAGCTAATATATAATTCTTTAATTGGACGACTTTTTTGATTTTCAGTTGAACCGAATTCAAATCAAATTGAATCATAATTCTACCTGGAATCATGCTGCTATATATGCTTGAAGCTCAATTTAAATAGGAACATTTAAGTTTAATTTGGGAAGCACAATTTTATTTCAATTCAATTATCATCATTCTCAACTGTAAAGTCTATCAAGTTATTTTTGAAGCAAACCCCCACATATAGAGCTTTTGTTCTCAGTCATTGTTAGCAGTTTATCTTTGACTAAATTAAAAAAAATTAAAGTGAAAGAGCAATAAATTTTGATTTCTGTTACCAATTATTCTAGTTAAATGTCATAATTATCAAATTTGTCCAAGCTGTCATTTGCTTAGGTGGGGAGTTCAAATTTCAAATGTTAATCCTATAAAAAGAAACAACCACAACCTAAAACCTTAATCAGCATGTTCATTTTAACCCTAATGGAGAAGTTAATGTCTCTAATTTTCATCATCGTCTCCCTATTTCCCCTTATCCACTTACCCATGAGCCAATGTTCTACTTTAGCAATTGAGAAGGAATCTGATTTGATTGAAGAAGCTTACAAACACACACAAAATCATGATTTATGCGTCTCATCCTTTCGATCTGATCCTCAGAGCTCTAAAGCAAATGTCAAAGGGCTTGCTCACATAATGCTTGAGTTATCTTTGGCTAAAGCCAAGGCCACCTTGTTGTATATCCAACAGTTGGACAATAAGGCGACATATCTCATTTTGAAATGATACTTTAACTCTTGCATTTACCAATATGATGATGCTGTGAAGAAAGATCTCCCCATGGCAATCTTGAATTTGGAATCCAACTATTACCAATTTTCAAGTACTGATGCTGTTTATACTAGCATGGACGCGCAAGATTGTGAAGATAGATTTAAAGGACCACTTGAATCTCGCAAATCACCATTATCTAATCAGAACACAGCTGTGCATGAGCTCTCCAAAGTGGCTGGAGAAATCATCTACATGTTGGAATCATTGAGATCCATGGTTGCATTAATATTGGCACTGCTTAACTGATATTAAAGCTAGCCTTTTGATTTGCCTGCATTGTTTACTTGTTATGGAATCTAAGTAGCAATAGCACATTCTTGGTAGAGGTGCAACTCTTCTGGAAGCATCAATGTGCATCTAATATGATGCAAGAAATTTCTGACATTCTATGGCTGCTTGGCTGCCATGAAAGGGAGTGCTATTTCTTAAGGCCGTATTCTAAATTCTAACAATTTCATAAGACGACAACGGTTTGAAAAGGATGTTACTCAATGATGATTCCTTGTTGAGTGTTTAATACAAAATATTAATTTTGACAATGGGTTGTGTTATGTTTGCGGGTTCATGTCGTGTATTGTCTTGTATCAAAATTCTTTCAATCATACTAATTCGACTTGTTATTGGCTATTGTCAGTTTCATATCATCTATACGTCATGTTTATATGTTGTTCGCTCTGTTTAGACGAGTTCGTGTCGATCTATTTATCAAGTAAATTTAGTTGTTCTAACCATAGTCCACCAGACCCCACTAAACTCAAACTTGTCAATCTTGTATCGATTTCATGTCGTGCTGACAAATCGTTCTTAAAATAGTCAAACTTGTAATTTGTTAGATGGATTGCTTCTGACTATATATTCAGTGTTAAATAACTACCAGACCATTGTTTGAGCATTTGAAACGGTTCAAGGTTATTTGTGAGCATTTGAATCATTGAGATAACTTAACAATATGTAATCGGCACCTCTTAATCAGGGTGCATGGATGGACTCTTTTGGACTCTTAATCAGGGGCCATGGAATATTGAAATTTGGTGTTGAGTGAATGGTTATAATGAAAACACATTATAAAGTCAAATTTTTAGGTCTAAATAACGTTACCCGTATCTTCACTGTTTGGTATTCCTTGTGTGATTATCACAATTGACTTGTTTTTGTTTTTTCATTCACTTTGGATAGCTATCTTTGACTGCATTAAAAAAAACCAGTGTAAGTGCAGTAAATTTTGCTTTCTGTTATCAATATATCTAGGAAAATCTCATAATTATCAAATTGGTCAAAGCTGTCATTTGCTAAGTTTGGGAGTCCGAATTTCAAATTTTAGTCCTACCAAAGGCAACTAGCTACAACACATAAACTTAACATCACATACACCCATCCCTCTCCCTCACATTGCACCCCCAGGAATGGAGAGTTTATCTTCTCAAGTACTGGTCATTGTTTCCATATTTCTTCTCACCTACTTACCCTGGAGTCAATCCTCTACTCTCATGATAGAAAAAGAAGTTGATCTGATAGAAAATACTTGTAGGCGTACACACAACCATGATTTATGTGTCTCATCTCTTCGATCTGACCCTCACAACTCTAAAGCTGATGTTAAAGGGCTTTCTCGCATAATGCTCGAGTTGTCTATAACTAAAGCTAAGGCCACATTATCTTATATCCATTTGCTGAATAATAAGGCAACAGATCGTATATGGAAGCAGTACTTTAGTGTTTGCATTGAGCAATATGTTATTGCAGACAAAGTTCTCCGAAGTGAAATTGTGGATCTGGATTCGAACGATTACGGAGATTCAACTACAAATGCCCATTATGCTGGAGAGGCTGCTCAGGATTGTGAAGATGTGTTCAAAGGACCACCAGAAACTCGCAAATCACCATTAACTCGCAAATCTGCATTAACAAATCAAAACAATGCTCTAGAAGTCATTTACTTACCAAAAAAAAAAAACTCCCATCTTTCCTAAATGATCTCTTCGTTCTTGACCAAGTTCTCAAGAGATCATGACGAATAATCCGAGTAATACTTTAGTAAGAAGCAATATGATATGGGCTATTCCAATAGGAATTTAAGTACTGTTTGGTAATATTCTGTTAAGTTATTCTACTGCCTTTTCTCCTTTTCTTAAAAATAAAAGGCCAAACAGCAAGTATTTTCAGTAAAAAAGAGAAGAATGATTTTTGAAAATTACAGGTTTAATAATGGAGAAAATTAAGGATTTTCTCAAATTAAATTATTTAATTAGAGAAAATCATTTAAATAATATAAATTAGGAGAATTTATAATTTGAAGATGGAAGGCACCTCAAGCTCTCTCCGATGAAATGTGATCATTGCTTCATGTAATACACGTAATTTACAATCTCTTCACCATCACACCCCTTACTGTCATTCCTACCCCAATCCCCACCCAACATTATTGAAAAAATGTCCATTAATATGCTAAATTATTTTTTTAAAAAAACTTAAATTTGAATTAGTTACACAAGATTGAGAAAGATTTAAATTCATTAGGGGTAGTTAATAAAGATGTTAGAAGTGTGTTCCAAAAAAAAATAAAAATACAAAGATGTTAGAAGTGATTACATAGGCCCCCAATATTTGATTGTTATACATAATAGAATAACACATATATCACATTTTGGAATGAAATATCCTATATGTCCATAGAAAATAATTTTTTTATGCACCGTTACAGAAAATGAATGACAAGATTTGAATCTGTAATTTTAAAGTTCAATAGTAGACACGGTGACCATTCAACAAATCGTTAACCTCCCGTACAAAACATTTGAATGCACTCAATTGTTGGAGTGTGAAAATTATTGTGATTAATAATAGGAAAGTCGGTCAACTTTTTTTCATAAGCAAACTCTCTAGAGAAGGAGCTAGAAGTATGTCATAATGACAGCCATAAATGAACGAAAGTAGCAATCATAATTAAGACAAAAAAGAAAAAGCAAGTTATCTGCGCTGAAACAATAATGCTATGTTTATTACTCTTCCGTTTCTAAATATTTGTTGTTTTACATAATTTTTTTGTTCCATAATCTCTGTCGTTTTATGAAACCAAAACATAATTAATATTTTTCTTTTTAAATTTATCCTTAACTTTTCAATGCATTAGATTAAGTGGAGACTAAGTATTTTTTATATTCTTTTATTTCCCAATACATATTGAATAAGAATATTTAGTCTTGTGTAATTATTTTTTACTCATATTACAACTATTTAATAACTTCCTTAATTCTTGTGTAAAAACTTTAAACGACAGATATTTAGAAACGGAGGAAGTAATATTTTTATCAATTTTTTCATTAATCTTCAACCCTTACCTTTGACTACATCATATAAGAGCAATAAATTTTTGTTTCTGTTACCTCTATATCTAAGTAGATTTCATAAATATCTAATTAGTCCAAGTTGTCATTTGCTCAATTTAGGAGTTCAAATTTCAAATCCTAGGCCTATAAAGACAGGCAACCCCAACCCACAACCTTAGCATCGTATACCCACCTTCCCATAGTTAATAATAGAGAGGTTACTTTCGAGAGTATTTGTCATCGTTTTTTTGTTTCTTCTCATTCACTTACTCCTGAACCTATGTTCTGCTCTGGTGATAGAAAAAGGAGTCGCTTTGGTAGAGAAAACTTGTAGGCGTACAAACAATTATGATCTATGCATCTCATCTCTTCGATCCGATCCTCGAAGCTCTAAAACAGATGTTTAAGGGTTTTCGCGCATAATGCTTGAGTTGTCTCTAACTAAAGCCGAAATTACCTTGTTGTATATCCAACAACTAAATAATAAGACGACAAATGTTATATGGAAGCGATACTTTAGTGGTTGCATTGAGGAATATGAGATTGCAGAGAACTTTCTTGAAACCGCAATTTTGAATTTGGGTTCCAACAATTATAGAGAAGCAACAACACATGCCGATTATGCCAGTTCATCTGCCCAGGAGTGTGAAGATTTGTTTAAAGGACCACCTGAACCTCGCAAATCACCATTAACGAATCAAAACAAAGCTTTACATGACCTCGCAGATTTGGTAGGAGAAATTATTTATATATTGGTTACTGGTGTTGAAATCAACAAGTGGCCTTAATGACCACATTAGTATTCTAATTCAATGAATACAACTTATCTTTAAACATTTTCTTGTTCCATAAACTTCCATATTCATCTTGTACTTGGTCTTTGTATACCTTGTGCCATGACCTTTTGAGTTAATATGTCACTACAATAATAATGGGGTCAAGTGACAAATTTTTTAGTGACCAAGCTATTTTTGTATTAATTCCCCTCTTTAGTGATGACATGTGAACTTGTCACTAATGGTCCAATATGAGTGACGATGACAACACAATTTATCACAAAATTTAACTATTAGTGATGAAATAATTGTTCTTCATCCTAACTTCATTTTTGAAAGTTTGAGAAATTGGACAATTAGTAAAACGGTGGACTAATACTTTTAGTAACGAGATTAGTTGCCTCTAAAAATTTCTTATTCATTCTATGTGTCTACTTTATGTCACATATATGAATGCCTTAATACAATATAAACCGTTTATTGGCTTCTCAAATTCATTATATTTGGCTATATCTGATGCAATTGTGTGGTGAACACGACCTACTTAGCTCTTGACAAACTTTCATAGCTTATATAAGTCAAAGTTGGAAAGGCAAATCGCTGTCAAAGGTGTTAAAGAAGTTGTGTTTGGCAACTATTGTGTATATAATATAGTAGAAAGGAATAGGCTCCATACAAACCAATTTAGAGATTGTAGAAGTCTTGTGAAATGTGTCATGCAAATCTTCAAAGATTGGTTGGTCACACTCATATTCAAGAGTTCTCCCCAAAACTTGTCACTCCTCCAAGCTTGGCAGCTACCTAGTAGTGGCTTAAGTTCAGTAGGTTGAGACAATTTTTTGTCCTATTTAATAGACTGCTATGTTGTTACATTTATCTCCTAGTAGTGGTCTTTTGATATTGGGTTATGACAATAAAGGATTTGGATGGAAGTAGGGGCTCAAGGCTCTCACTTTCTTCAAAATTCTGAGTTGACAAGGTCCTTTATGGAGGGATCCTTGATATATGGAATTTAGAAAGCTATATAAAGACCTCCAAGTCCCTCTTTCCACCTATCACTTTGAACATAGAAGATTTTTTGACAAAGAAGGCTAGACAATATACTGAAAAATGTGAGTTAAAGAAACCAAGCTCGTGAAGTCAACCTAGATTGTGTAAGGAATCATCGTCAAATTTGAGGAATTGAGTATAAGTTGAGTGTTTTTTGATACAAACCCACTAAGATCCGATAGACCTACCTTGAGTTGAAGCAGTATTTCCAATCAATGGTAGATTTTGATATTTCAAGTAGAATTACACCTTCAATTCAAGTCGAACCCAAATCTATTTAGTCAGATATATAAGACGATTATAATCTGAATTTAATCAAATTCTATTAAGAATTCTTAAAAACGATTTGAATGCATGTTAGCCTGATTCGACTTTCTCTCTCAATTCTACTATCAAACTCTTCCCCTCTCTCCTCTTGATCTCTCTCAATGTCTGTCCCCTCTTATAACAAAATTGTAGGTTATCGAGTAAGGACTCATGAACTGCTTCTTCCATAAAGTGGTTGTTGTCCTAGCATCAACATCTTCATGGAACATAACGGCCCAAAGGTTCACTCAACCTCTGGCTTGAAACATTCATTTTCATCCGATCCATTGATTTTACATGATTTAAGAAACATGAATTTTCTCCTCTTCTTCTTCTATCTTCAACTTTGAAATAAAATTCCTAATATGGTCCACGATTTTGATATCCATCAAATATTAAGATTGAATTCAGAATCGAATTATGTGCTCGGATTTGGATTAGTTAACCTCTTGAAAATACCCAATGAAACCTGCAATTGTTGCAAGGTATTTTGCTAATTTTCATCGGTAAATGTATTGTACGAACTTATTGTGTCAATAATGTAATAGTCTTGTCTCGACAACATGTGCACTTCAGTTCTCTTGCACATCTGTCATTCAAATTCTTTATATTCATGTCAGATTGTAGGACCGTGGCAGCTGGTACCTCGTAATATTTTATATTTGAGTTAAGGTACTAAGACATGTAATTAGAACCAAGCATTGGACTAGTAAAACTTTATGTAAGGAAGCAAGCCATGTCTAAAAGAACATAATTTGATACTTACCATAATTACATGGGAATATAGAAATATAGGTCACAAAGAAACTATTACATATGAAATCTGGATCACCTTTTTCCATCTAAAACAGATCTACGGTAAATGGAATTTTGGTTTGATTTAGCCACATCAGCCCATAGATGAAATTTCTTACTGTAAATTTTTCAGCTTCGGTTGAACTCATAACTCTATGTCCTGTCCAGTTCACTCTTTTCGCAGTGTTAGCTCCAGGACCGTTATTATGATATTCTCCATGTTGGGAATTAGAAGCAAAAAACAACTACTAAAGAGCACAAAAATAGAGGATGAAAAACTGCTCCACTTCCACACTAATTTCACTCAAGAAACATCTCTATATTTCATCAAATATGATCACAATATCATGGAATACATGGGGAGCAACTTATCAGAATTTTTCAGCAGTAAACACTCAAGAAAATACAAAGAAATAGAGCTTCTGCTCNTGTTGGGAATTAGAAGCAAAAAATAAAAAACTACTAAAGAGCACAAAAATAGAGGATGAAAAACTGCTCCACTTCCACACTAATTTCACTCAAGAAACATCTCTATATTTCATCAAATATGATCACAATATCATGGAATACATGGGGAGCAACTTATCAGAATTTTTCAGCAGTAAACACTCAAGAAAATACAAAGAAATAGAGCTTCTGCTCATGAACAAGCTGCTGTTTTTTTTCAGGCAGCAAACACACTGTTTTTCTCACTTTTTCCTCTCTATTTTTCTGCACAGAGACTCTCTATTTTGGGCAGTAACTCCGACCCCTTTTATATTGATTTTTCTTAGCCAAAACACTCTAAATTTGGCCACTTTATGACTGACTATCTCCAAGAAAAAACTGTTCAACTTTCCATGCAACCATACATGAATAAGTCTCCCAAATACATGAATAGATTTCTCAAAAATATTCTGGACACTTCTGGTATATATCACTTCAAATACCATGACTTTTCAATACCCAAAAATACAAAAAAAATACCCCTTAAAAAAAATAGAGTTTATAAAACTAACATTCCCACTTAAACTCAATTCCTTGAGTTCTCATGCCTAGCATCATTTTCAATTTTCTAAACACATCATGCTTCAATGGCTTTGTAAAAATGTCGGCAACTTGATCTTGAGTCTTGCAATGTACCAAGTTCACTTCTTCATTTTTCACATGCTCTCTAATAAAATGGTAGCGCGTATCAATGTGTTTACTCCTTTCATGAAACACCGGATTCTTTGCCAACGCCATTGCCGATCTATTATCAACAAGGATCTCTGTGGGAATTTCTTGAGAAAATCCCAAATAATTCAACAAGTTCCTCAACCAAATAGCATGACAAACTGTTGAATTTGCAGCCACATACTCCGCTTCACATGTAGACAAAGTAACAATTGTTTGCTTCTTGGATGACCAAGTAAAAGCCGTATCTCCCATAAAAAAACAATAACCCGAGGTACTTTTCCTTTCATCCAAATCTCGTCCCCAATCACTATCCGAATATCCAACAAGTCTAAAATCATTAGTGTAAGAATAAAATAAGCCATCATTGAGTGTACCTCTAATATAACGTAGAATCCTCTTTGCTGCATTAAGATGAGTTTGATCCGGTGTTTCCATGTATCTACTAACTAAGCCAACTCCATAAAGAATATCTGGCCTCGTGCAAGTAAGATACCGAAGACTTCCAACTAAACTTTTGAAGTAAGTTGGATCAACATTTTCACCACTAATTCTCTTCCTCAATTCCAATCCAACTTCAACGGGCGTGTTCACCGGGTTGCAAGAATCCATCTTGAACTTCTTGAGCACTTCCTTTGCATAACCACTTTGAGAAATAAAAATTCCATCTTCTCTTTGCTTTACCTCAATGCCAAGGAAATGAGACATTAAGTCAATATCAGTCATTTCAAACTCCTTAATCATACTTCTCTTGAATTCATCAAACATCATTGGATCATTGCCAGTGAAGATCAAGTCATCGACATAAAGACAAACAAGTAACACACTTCCATTCCCATCCATCTTCATGTATAATGCATGCTCATAAGGACACTTTTGAAAAAAATTCTCATGTAAATATTTGTCAATTCTAGCATTCTATGCGCGCGGTGCTTGCTTTAATCCATAGAGAGCTTTTCTCAACTTGTACACTTTATCTTCATGTCTCTTCTTCACATACCCCAAAGGTTGTTCAACATAAATCTCCTCTTCAAGAAATCCATTCAAGAATGCCGATTTCACATCAAGTTGATAAATCTTCCACTTGTTTTGTGCCGCCAAAGAAATCATCAACCTAATTGTTTCCAAACGAGCAACGGGAGCAAATACCTCGTCATAATCAATTCCGACCCTTTGCTTGTAGCCTTTAGCAACTAACCTTGCCTTATATCTTTGGACTTCACCATTTGCATCCTTTTTGGTTTTATACACCCACTTCACACCAATTGCTTTTTGACCTTGGGGAAGACTAACTAGTGTCCATGTATCATTCTTTTCAATTGCTTTCATTTCTTCATCCATTGCTATTCTCCATTTCTCTTCTTGAATCGCTTCTTCAAAACATAAAGGATCACAATCCATGAATAGACAAAACAAATTCAAGTTACCTTCAAAATTTTCCGTAGATTCATATATCTCTTGCAAACTTCTCATTTTCCTTGGTCTTTGACTTGAACTTGAATCTAATGATGATGATGATTCACCTGTAGAAGATGAGGGGGATCCATGTGGAGGTGTCTGTGGCTCTCTTTGGACTTCCCTTGGTTCTTCGGACTCTTCTTCTTCAAGCATAAGTTCCACTTCAGTGGCTGAAATTTTTCCTTTCCAATCCCACATGTCTTCCTCTTCAAAGATAACATCTCTAGTCATGATTACTTTCTTGTTAA